TGGTCTCTGACGGGCAGAAGGGGGTTAAGGACAAGGAGAGAACTCTTAGGGGATAGACTAGCCAAGCTCCAAAACCATCTTGAGCTTTTAGCAAAAAGTGAAATTCATCTCTGTGCTCTTTGAAGAAGTACTAGTGACCTTTCCTAAGGTAACAGATTTCTCATTTTGCACAAATATGAGGGAAGAGAAAAGTTTTATTATAGTAACAACATGCAAAGAGTCCAGAGGGTGGGGCAGCAGTGTGCGGACCACCCTCCCAGCAGGGAGTCATCAGGGTGCAGGGAGATGGAGGTGCAAGGGCAATAGTTGGCTTCCCAAGAAAAGGAGAGGGCTAGTCATTCAGCAACATGCTCGTGTTGAGGCTGGTCAGAGAGTTTCTACAGAAACATCTTAACACTCCAAAGGATGCTCTCTTCCCTGTGAATCTGTGTCATTTGTCCTTTTTGCCATTTCACTTCACTGAGTTCTGAGATCTGTTCTTCAGACAAGTCTTTGTACTTCAGTGGGCCAATGATAAAGAACAATCTCAGTCCTTTCATAAAAATGCAATTCAACAACTTCATGTTCATCACAAAGAATTCTATAGGCATCTCTAATTATAGATTACTTCATGCAAAGAATCAATTTCACTAACCACATGGGAAAAATAATCCTTGAAGTTGTAAAGGCAAAAATAAGGAGTAGAAGCCACAGAGATTATTTGCCAACCTAGAAAGAATCTGGAGGAAAAACAGTTACTAGGAATAAACAGAGCAAGCTTGGGGTCTCCGACTTTGGCTTCCTCCATTCCTTTCTGTGTGTCTGAGAAAGAGATCAGGTCACACGGGGCACCTGCACATTCTGCTTTAGAGTTTTACAGATTGGGCACATGCCCCTCCCCTGTGAAATCAATCAAATGCCTACCAATGGCCAGCAGTGAACTCTGCGCCCTCCCTAGTCCCGAGAGCCTGAAGGACAGAAACAGGGTGCTCTGACTTTGGGGAATGAGTTCTGTTGGGATGGAGCACCTGGAAATGTGCAAGAAATATAGACAGATTTTCATTTTTTTCTAGAGAATTTGAACAGCTCTGCAAGTTGCAGTTTAGCACTTTTCAAAGCTCCCACGATGATCTCAAGTAGCCTTTTCTGACCCTCCACTTCCCCCCTGGCATTACGTTGCCTGGAAAGGTAGCAATTTTCCCTTTCTGCCAACACCCTCTCCATTTCTGCCTTTCTCCTTTCCCGCTCCAGGCTATCCTCCAGGTTTCTGATTTTCTCCTCATACTCCTCTCTTATCTGCTTCTTCTCCCTCTCCAGCTCAGCTCTGCACTGCACTTCTATTGCTCGGATCTGTTCCTGAATCTCCTCCTCCGCCCTTTGGTACATCTCGTTAGTGTAGAATCCCCCCTCGTTCTCCATCACCATGCGCTGGACCAGGTCCAGCAGCTGTGCCCTCTGGGCCTCCTGCTCAGCCCCTGTTGCCTTATTATTGAACAAACAGTGGCGATCCTTGAACTCCTTCATCAGATCCTGAATGAATGCTGGGGCTTCCTTGATGTAATCATAGAACTCCACACCATCCAAGTCATCCTTCCGGGTGAATAAGAGAATCATGTATCTCCTAGCTGTGGGACCAAACATCCTCAGCACCTTCTGCATGGCCTCTTGCTGTTCCTTTGTGTACCGGCCCAGTGGGGCCACCAGGAGCAGTGCATGAGGCCCCGGGGATGTCAGGAGGATGCAACGAGCAATCTCCTTTTGAGTGTCAGCATCTGGCACCTCGGTGTCGAAAAAACCAGGTGTGTCCACCACCACAATTTCTCTCCCACTCCACATGCAGCTCCCTTTCTCACAGACCTTGGTGATGGATTTTGCTGCAATGCTGGAATGAAACGCTTTCTTCCCAAGGATGCTGTTCCCTGTGGCGCTTTTTCCGGCTCCGGTCTTACCCACTAAGACTAGTCTCAGTTGTGACTCTCTGGGGTCTTGGTTTCCAAGCCCTGGGACATCAGGAAACAAAGCCACAGTGTTAGGATTGACCTCCAGCATTTCCCCTGCAGGCCCGCACCTGCCAGTGCCTGTCTCTGTTGCCTGCTCATGTCCTGTCCCATGAGCCACCCCTGCACCACAGGAGCTCTGAGGAAGCCCTGGGCCCCGTGTTCCTGCTACAGGACTCGGAGAACCCCGGGCACATCTCCAGAGTCCCATGGGCTGCTCACTCTGATCTTGACAGCTTAGGGTCCACAAAGCAGGGCACCCAAGGGTGTAAGTGAGAGCTCTGAGCCATTGTAGGAGCTGTCCCTCCCAAGCCAAGGAAGTGACACAAAAGCTGACTGTGGGACGTCACAGCAGAAGAGCCCTTCACCCCCACATCATAGTCACAAGGGAACTTTTCTTCCTGTGAAGAAACCACAGAGGAGGGTGATTTAGACCCTCCCACTTTGCAAGGTGAGCAGTATACCTGGGCGGAAAGAAGGAGTCCCTTTACATGTCACATACACAGCCCTCCTATCAGGGACTGTGACCCAGAGAAGCACAAAACACCTCACTTAAAATTAAAACTGTGTAGAAAACAGTGTAGTTTTCCTATATTAAATTAACATGTTGAAGACTTACAACCAGAAATCATTGACAATTGCCTACAGTTGCTATAAATACAACCCCTTGATACCTAAATAATAATAATAACAACTCATACAGATTAGCATCACTAGATTTATACACTTAGTCTCACTTGCTTAGGTGTATCTACCATCTAGGAAACTTGGAGGTTAATAACAGAGCAGCATAGCCTACAACTGAACGATATTTTCAAAATAACCTTGAAGGTTAAACACCAGGTCATCTGTAGAGGACTTTCCCCACTTCTGTTTAGTAGATCTCTGCTTCTCTCTTTAATGGGTCTCACAGTGGAAGCTTCCGGATTTGGTGAGCACAGCCCGGGACCAGACAAGACAACTGACCCCCACACCTGAGGGCGTGTGTTCCCGAAAAAGAACACCCTCAGTGCAGCCCTTGTGTGAGATTGAGGCCTGCACAGGGACCCTGTACCACAGCCACCATCTCTGCTCAGAGTCCATGCCCACATGGTCACACCAATGACATTGGACACATAAGTGATAACTGCAGTTCCCTGTCAGAGACATCCTCACCTTCACCCAGGCCCTCAGAACAAAAGTCTAGGAATCTCCCTTGATTTCTCTCTTCCCTTTGCTTTTCAGATCCAACCTACCAGCAAGTTCTCTTGCCTCCATCCACAGTCTGACCACTTCTCTCCATGTAGAAGACAATCACACCAGCCCAACCTACATCGCCATCCATGACTCAGCTCTCCCCTAACTGTCCTCCATGTTTCCAACATGGCCCCTTCTGTCTGTTCTGTAATTGGGATGCTCTTTCAAAATATCCATCAAACAGAGGGGAGATTTCGCAGAACCCCCATCTCTGGCTTCCACAAATCAGTAGTGCTTCCCCATCTTCCACACACTCCTGTGGGGAAGCTGTTGCTAATCCAGGGAGTAGCCAAACCTCCCCTGTGGGTGAGTTTCCCACATTTGATAAGATAACCAGCATCCTGGGGTGAGAGAGTAAGTTTCCAGAAGCTGAGAACACGGGACACAGGATGGCTACCAACAAGGGGAATGTGGATGGGAGTTCGGAGCACTGTACATTAGCATCACAGTGGAAGACTCCACCTAGGGACACCCTGAGGGCATCAGCTGTCACCACACAGGGAGCAGAAAAGTCCTGGGAGGTGAAACAGAAGGCCAGCACAGGCCAGCTCCACCCTGCAGCAGTCTGCCAATGCTGAGGGCACATGGCGATCTATGTGACAGAGTGCTGCTGTGGACATGGACTGTTCCCATGGGACATGTGCCTCTTTGGGATGTGGCTCTGCAGCCCTGCCCATAAAGACTGAGTCATTTCCCACCCCTTGAATCCAAATGGGCCGTGTGACTTTTGTGGACATGAGGGCAGTAGGAGCGTGATGCCAGCGTGGGTCCTAAATGTGCAGATGCCTGGAGCTGGCTGTCTCCTCCTGCCCCACAGAGACCTGCAGCTGCCTGGGGAAGAGGCTGGACTCCCCTGCTGGGTGATGAGGGACAAGGCCCACCTATCCCTGTCACCCTGGCCTGAGAGCCTACTCACTACTGGACACCTCCATGGGACTACCCAATTCAAAATTATCTAGTTTCTGGATATTGAGATAATCATGCTAGATGAAATAAGTCACATGAAGAAAGAACAAGAGCCACATGATTTCACTTACATGTGGAGTATAAAATAGGAAGCCACAGGTGAAAAAAACAAAACTCATGGACACAGACAACAGTGTGGTGGTGACCAGAAGAAAAGGGAGGTCCGGGGGTGGGGCAGTGAACAGGATAAAGGGGGTCAAATGTGTGGCGATGGGAGGAGACAAGACTTTGGGTGGTGAGCCCAGGATGCAGTACACGGATGATGGACAATAGGATTGTACACCTGAATGTTCTATAGTGTTATTAACCAAACTCAGCCCATTACGTTTAATTTTTAAAAAAGATTATCCAATTCTGTACTGAACCACTAACTTACCACTGTGCACATGAGCGAGTCTGGCTGAGATCACAGGAACCTATCATCTGAATAAATAGAAACCTGAATAAAAACTCAATTGCTCTCACATTCCTCCTTCCCAACCCTCTCTAGGGCCGAAGAGAGGGGCAGAGAAACACCCAGAGAGGCTACAGCAAGCCCTCCTGATGTGCGCACAAGTTAGGAAGTAGGAGACAAGAACCCTCATCAAGCCTGGATCACTCAGGACACTCTAACCTCTCTTCCTCTGAGCAGTGATGCCACATCAGGAGGGGCCTCGGTAGAGAGCCAAACACAAAGAAAGAGCAGAGTCGATGAAGACAAAATGAGAAATGGGGTTGGGGGTATTTGGGTCTTGCTCAGTTGGGGACTGGCAGACAGGACAGGAGAGCCCCCACCAGGTCCCCTCCATCAGCCTGGCCTGGGGAGCCCAAGCCCTTTCTCACCTTGGCTGGCCCCGGTTTCAGTTTCACTGAAAGTAAAACTCAAGCTGGGGAATGCAGTTGCCATCGTCATGTGAGTTCCTGTGGGTGAGAAACACAACTCATTTCAGGGAAATGGAGAGTAACTGCAAACCACACCTCCTGCAGCCAGCAGCCCCTCTTCCCCTGGACTGGCTACTTGATTCCTCCTCCTTCCCAGCACTTCTGCTCCACTCCCCTGGTCAGTCTCCTCTTTGCTTCCTGCTCTTTCTCTGCACAAACACACAGGCTTCAGGAGCTGCCTCAGTGCGGCTTCAGGGCACCCGTCCTGTGTCCCCTCAGGAACTTGTTGCTCTGACTGCCCTTTGAACTTTATCTGTAGCTTAGACACTCTCCCCTCCCAGAACTCTGAACTTTCATATCCCACTCAGCCTCTCCACTGGGCAAGTTCATGGGCATCTCACACAGAACTGGCCCCAGGAAACCCTTGACCATGCTGCTGTCCAGCCAGTCCTGCCTTCAGGTCACCAGGATGATCCCATTTCCCTTCCCCATCTTCAGTGCATGGCCTCGGCCTTCAGCCCAGGGCTCCTGCAGAGTCCTACAGCGAGTCTCTCCTTCGTTTTGCTCATCCATCCCACGAACTTGACCTTCAAAACATGCAGAAGTGTCCCTGCCCCCACCACAGATGAAGCCAGGCCACTAGGACTGGTCTCCCTGTCACAGCCCCAACCCATCCTCTCATCCTCAGTCCCGCTTCTCCTCTACAATCAGACTGTTTTTAACCTAAAACCTGGTTATTTTTCTCCAACACCTGTCCCCACAATGCCACCACCACACACAGGACAGCTGCACTGAGGGCCCCTCACCATTGGCTCTCCCAGTGCTCCTGGGGGCCCCCCGGGAGCACAGATCTCCATCAGGAGTTCTGCATCCGCTCTCTCTACTGTGCCCTGGTCAGTTGTAAGCTTAGTGACGATGGGCCCTCCAGGGGAGTGTTCAGTCTTGTATTTCCTTATGACCTGGGACAAGTACATTACTGGACACAGAGTTCTTCACAACATATATTGTTAAATAAATAAATTGATCAAAACTCTCTATGATTGTTGCTTCCTTGCTGTTCAGCGTACATCTGAGAAAAAGGGTGCGCTTCCTCATTCATCAATGCTCCCTATCATAGCAGCATAGCATCTCAGTGTAAGTATTTCGTCTCCTCGCTGCCTACACATGTTTGGCAGTGGGCAGAGTTGTTTGAAGAACTGGGAGTGGAGCGGACTTTGCCCGGGACAGGCTGAAAATGCAAGTGGGGAAGGGCAGGCTCCTCTGATAGGAGCCTTCAGTTACACACTTGAAACAATTAGAAAGACAGATGGTCCTTTTGAAAGACTTATGTCTCTATCCCCTAGAGCTAGGGAGTAGAAAACCCCTTCTTGTAAACTGAGAAGAGAAACCCAGCACCTCTTCATGAAATCTGCTTTCGCCACAGTCACAGTTGGTCCTGGGTGTGGCAGCCCCCGCTCCTGACACCTCCCTGTGTTCCTTGCCCACCAGCTGCCCTCAGAGCCCAACCTGCCCCCTCACCCAGCTCCACCCCAGAAAGCTTCAAGTGTGTTTATAAATTCTGTGAGAGATGAAAGCAATCATTTATTTGTACTAATACACTCTGAGCAGCAAACCTGTAGGAGGTGTGAATTTGCAGGGCTCAGCCTTCACAGCAGATCACACCCAAAGTCAGGCAGCAGAGACAGGAGACAGGAAGCGAGGAGAAGCCACACTGAGAGCAAGTTTGAGGGGACGTTTACTGCGGATCCCAGGGGGAGGGGGCGAGGGGACCCCGATGCTCCACATCCCCCGTGTCCTCCCCCTACATACACAGGATCACCCGCGTTCCTCTACCTGGAAAATCTGAGTCCTGCTCTGGTCTCTGACTTCCAGGGCTGAGCTGAGAGACGACACTGAGGAGGAAGAGGAGGAGAGAGGAAGTGAGGGGAGGAGCTGTCCACACTGACTCCTGTAAGAGGGCTCTGCACAGAAAGTAGGCTTCACAACACGCTCTGTGCTGGGGACAAAGAAGGCTGTCCCGTGAGGACAAAGGGGTCAGCCCAGCAGGAGGACGGGACCCCTGTCAGTGGTTATGCAGTCAGTACAGGAGCCCCCACGTGTGGGGGGAAATAGTGACTGACAGGAAGGGAAGGATGCGCACCAATGCCGTCGTGGTGGGGGTATTGCACTCCCCTGGCATCAACCACAGGTCTTTCAGGTGGAAATTCCACAGGGAAACCACAGCCTTCCCTGGTACACTGGACCCCATGAATTTAATGCATGTGTCCAGAGCACCTCACCCGAGAGCAACAGAACACACAGTTTTTTCCAAAGCACATGGGACATTTTCTTCGATAGCCCACATTTTGAAACTCAAAGCAAATCTTAATAAACTTAAGATAATTGCAATCATAACAAAAATCTTCTCTGACCGCTGTAGTTTGAAACCAGAAATCAAGAAGAAGGAAAAAAAAACACAGAAAAACCACACAAATACACGGAGACTGAATAACAGGCTACTAAACAATAAAGGGGTTAATGAGGAGATTAAGGAAGAAATCAAACAATACCCTGAGACAAATGCAAGCCAAGACACAACAACCCAAAATCGATGGGACCCAGCAAGAGCAGTTCTAAGACGAAAATTCAGTGTTGCAGGCCCACCTCCAGAAGCAAGAAAACCCTCGACACTCTCTGGGGAGCCCACCAGCGCCCTCCCCTCACCTCCAACCCCTCAGACGCCCTCTGGGGCAACTTCAGCTCACCACTTCCTCGTCCCGATTTTTACTGCTTGGAGGACCCTGGTCCCACACTGCCCACTCTCTTGGATGGGCTGACCCCTCTCAAATCAGAAGGGTCAATGAACTGCAGGGGGTCTTCTTGAAAACCGCAGAAGAAAAGTCAGGCACTGATCCAGAGTGAGACCGTACCAACACCAGAAAACTTACTCAAGAGAGAAATGCTTTTCTTTCCACAACGCACATATGTGACTTGGACTGCGCCAAAAAGACATGTGAACAATGGCCATATTTCATACCTTTTAAAAAATGTAAAATGTGCCCCGGCTAGTGTGGCTCAGTGGATTGAGCATCGGCCTGCAACCAAAAGGTCCTGGGTTCGATTCCCAGTCAGGGCACATGCCTAGGTGGCCGGCCAGGTCCTCTGTTGGGGGATCTCAGGAGGCACCTACACACTGATGTTTCTCTTCCCTTCTCCGTAAAAGTAAATAAAGACAATCTTTTAAAGAAGACATATGCACCCTCTGTTCGCTGCAACTTTACTCACGGAAGCCAAGGCATGGAAACAACCTGAGTGCCCTCTGACGTCTGACTGGGCGAGGGCGACGTGGCACATGTGCTCAGTGGGACACACTCAGCCAAGGGAAGGATGAAGCAGTGCCATTGGCCACAACGTGCATGGATCTGGGGAGAATCGGGACAAGTGAAATGAGTCAGAGGCAACGGGACAAGAAGCGTATCATTTCACTCAAAGGTGGGGTACAAAACAGTGAGCAACAAGCGAACAAACAAGAAAATCAGACAAACAAATGCTCATAGATACAAGTCTGGTGGGTGGTACCCGAGGGGACGCAGGGTCGGGGGAAGACAGAGAGGGGAAGGGGCTCAAATGTGCGGCGATGGAAGAGGACTTGACTTTGGGTGGAATATGCAGAACACTGAGGGGCTGAGACGCTGCCTGAGAGCTGAGTCTTCAGAACGGGCGCAGGAGATGCTGACAATTTCTGCAGCATGGCCATTTGTTGACTCCAAGTCCCAATTCAGGAAGAATCTTAGAAAATCAGCAGGCTTTTAATAAATAGTATTTTCAATACATCCCCCCCCCCCCCACACCTTCTATTTTTCCTCCAATCCCCCCCTTTCCCCTCCCCCCTCCCTTTCTCATTCATTCTTTGTTTTTTTTTTTTTCTCAGCAGGCTTTTTAATAGGAAGTAAGAACTTGAGAACCGTAGGTGTAGCCACTCAATTTTTCACATTTATTTATAAACGTAGATGAAACCACTCTTATTTCTTTCTTTTTTTTAAAGATTTATTCATTTATTTTTAGACAGAGGGGAAGAGAGAGAGAAACAGAGGAAAATGTGAACATGTACTTGCCTGTCACCACCCCTACTGGGGACCTGGCCCACAACCCAGGGCATGTGCCCTGACTGGGAATCGAACCGGTGACCCTCTGGATCACAGGTCAGTGCAAGACCCACTGAGCCACACCAGCCATGACGAGACTCCTCTTTTAAACACACATGTGTTGGTTTGAAACCTCCCAGGAGTAATCTGAAACTAGGCTTCCCATGGAGCAGGGAGGGTCCCCGGACAGCAGCAGACCAGTGCAGATGGGCAGGGGGCTGTTTAATGAGCCTGGAAACTTACTCACAAGGCTTGTCGTGGGTGGTCCCAGGACAAATGTTTTGTGCACCTGCCAGGTCTGAAGAGTGTGTATAGATCCCTTGGCTGGGCTGAGTCACCTGCACCATCCAGATGGTCTCAACAACACGTCACTCTCTCAAGGCTGTGTCCCTGACGCAGCTCTTGGGAAGCTGCCACAAAATCTGAGGATGGGTTGAGGGGGCAGGGAGCCTGGGACTATGTTCCAGGTTGATTGGAGGTCACATCCTCCCCATGACCTCCCCAGTGTAACAGACACAGTGGGTTCACCACTCCACACCCAGAGCCAAAGCGACACTTCTTTCTTGGTAGAAGAAACAGGTCTACTCCCATGAGTGACAAGTGGGGGACACAGAGAAATGACTTCCAAAGCCCCGCCTCTCTCAGGAGAGGCTCCGCCTTAACCCACACCCACCGTCCTGGCACTTCCACACTGAGCCCCTCTTTGCAGCGGGCTCACCATCAGTCACGTCCCAGGTCAAGCTCATCCTGTTTCAGCTCCTCTGCTCAACACAGTGCAGCCTTTTAGTGCTTAGGAAGAAGTGCCCAGGCTGAGACCCTTGTCCCACCTCTCACTGGCACCCCACCCCTGATGACCACCTGTACAATTACACATAACCCCCTTCTTCTGCAGTGGGCCCTGAGAGGGCCGAAGGAGCTTCACACGCTCGGAGGTGACCTGTTTGGTGTCTGCTCACAGATGCCACAGCAACACTGCAGTCCCATGAGAGAGAAAACACAAGTGAGGTCCCAAAGTCAGGGTCAACCTTCTACACCCAGAACCCCATCACCCAAACCACTGACTTAGCAAGTGCCCCGGGCAGAGGGTCAGATCCCCCAGGGTGTTGACTTCTATCCTCATGTCATTCAGTGAACGTGATACATTAGCACACTCATCAGGTATGAACGCACAGTTTTCTGCTTGGACAGTGACAGAGTTCAGATCACAGGAGAAATGTTTCTGGTGTCAGAAGTCACTGGGGGGGACTTTTCAAAATACAACAGTAAAGACCAGGGTGTGTCTGACAGAGAAGCAACTGTGGGTATTGCTCAGATGGATCGATCCCTCTAATGAGGTACTTGGGGGGAGTCGAGTGCAGGGGTTTCCTACAGGTGGTGGACACAGGGTATGCAAGTGACAGGGGACACTGCTGGTAGCAGTGAGGAGATGACACTCTAACCCTGAGGGGGAGAAGGAGAGCTGGAATCCAGAAGTGCGGATGGGTACAAGAGGCGTGACCTTCAGCTTCTAGTTGTAGCAGGTCAGAGATGACACTGCAGGGAGGGAGGCGGGAGAGCAAATACCCCGACCTCACTTTTCTGCCCCAAAGAGGCCTCCTGCTCGCACTTCCCACTGGCAGGAGCCCAGCAAGACTCAGAGACCCAGGGGACCCGCTGACGTGGACAGATAGGACAGGGGCCTCTGGGTCGAGGCTGCTCTCACTCAGTGCTCTTCTTGCCACACATTCACATGCAGTGCAGTGTTTACACACCAGCTGTAAGCAGGATGCACTTGGCACAAGCCCCACCAGGTAGGTGCAGCCAAATGCAAAGAGGAAGCCCATGTGCCACTGACCAGTCAGTGCGCAGCAGCACTGGCTCCACCTCCCTTCTGTGAGAGAGAATTTTGGTTTGTGGGTTTTTTTAAGATTTTATTTATTTATTTTTAGAGAGAAGGGAAGGGAAGAAGAGAGAGAAGGGGAGAAACATCAGTGTGTGGTTGCCTCTCACCTGCTCCCTACTGGGTACCTGCCCTGCAACCCGGGCAAGTGCCCTGACTGGGAATCAAATTGGCGATCCTTTGGTTAACAGGCTGGCACTCGATCCACTGAGCCACACCAGCCACAGCTGAGAAAGAATCTTGGAATGTGTATCTCCTGTCTCCTTCACTTGCTACACGGAAATAAAACTACCTTGTGACAGCCATTTCTCGTCATTGAACAGAACTCCCCAGGAGGAGAACCCTCTGAGTTCAGTAACAATGTGACCCACATAGGTCAGCCTCCTGGGGCACAGAGCTAGGGTGAGGGAGGCAAAGCGTGGATCTGCAGAGACAAATGAAAAATATTTGGCACAGAATATATTTTCAAGTTACAGTCAGGTACATTTCATATTAGGATGGCCCCTTAACAAGAACACAGAGAAAAACAATAAGGATTTAGCATCTCCCGGGCCTCTGTGGACCACAGAACTGTCTTGCTGAAGAGGTCTGTTCTTCACTGACCATGAGCTCATACACGTGGATGGAGAAAATGAGCACCACAAACAGGCTGACACGTGGCATACACGGGTTCTTTATTTGGCTTTCCTAAATTCAGTGTTTGAACTCTACACAGTGTATTCTGGCCTGATTGTCCCCAGCAGTCACTCCTTAACTGCGTTGGCACTGTGGGGACAGGGGGGACGAGCTGCGAAGATGCTTTGGTGAGCTATTGCTGCACAAAAAAAAACAGCCCAAAGATTAGTGGTTTCAAACAACATCATTTATTTTTCTCATGAATCTACGAACTGGGCAGGACGCAGTGGGGATGGCCCAGCTTTGCTGTCTGCGGTTTCCCCTGACGCGGCTCTGCTGGCAGCTGGAGAGCCCACCGCCCTGTGGCCACACTTGCACGGTGGCCAGGTGGTTCTGCTGACAGATGGGAGAGCAGGCAGGGGATGGGGCCAGGATTCCGGTCCTCTTCCTGGGGCCTCTTGATGGGCAACGTGGGCTCCCTCACAGCACGAGGGCAACCTTCTGAGGGCATGTACCCCCGAGAACAAGGCAGGACTGTCCCCGTCTAACTTAGAAGTCAGACCAGCCACTACTGGTCAAAGCAGTCAGAGTCCATGGAATTCCAAGGACTGGGAAGAGAGTCCCCATCACCCAACAGAAGGAGCAACAGCACAGGGTACAAGATGCAGAGCTGGGATGGAGGGTATTGCTGTAGCCATCTCTGGAAAATACAATCTACCACACTGACAAATCAGAGTAAATTAAGAAAAAAAATAAAATTCGGGTCACTCCCAGAACTCACGCCATTTATTTGAAAACTTTTCTAAAATCCATTGGAAAATACTTTTCAGTATATTTCCTTCACCTTTTTCCTTAGCGGTTCTCATTTTGATTTCATATTCCTTCTCTATGGACGCCATCTGCTTCTCCATTTCTTGCTTCGATATTTCTTTTCTATCATATCTCTCTTTTACCTTTTTTTCCTTAGCTGCTCGTTCAGCAGAGATTTTGTTCAGTTCCTTTCCCATGTGTTCCCATCTTTCCTCTGTGTACTTGTAGATGGGATCCGAAAAGTGAGCCCCTCCATTCTCCTGCACCATTGCCTCCATCAGCTCCACCAGCTCCTGCACTTGAGCTTCCTTCTCAGCCTCGTCTTTACTTCTGTTGTTGAAGGCACAGACGCATAAATCACACTCTGTGATGACGGTTTTTAGGCCCTTGTCTGCCTTGGCTATATACGTACTGAGATACTGACCATCCAAGTCATCTTTGCACGTGAACAAGACAATCATGTGCTTCATGGCGGGCTCCCCAAAGATGAACTTGATCAATTCAAGTGTTTTGCGCTCCTCCTCCGTGAGGCGGCCCAGCCTTACAACCAGGATGATGGCGTGAGGCCCGGGGCTGGAGTAGAGGACACACTGACTGATTTTCTTACAGGTGCTCCACAGTTTCTCCTTGGTGTCAAAGAGCCCTGGGGTGTCCACAACAAGAAGCTTCCTCCCCTCCCAGGACCCCCCTCCTTTCTGACAGTCCTCGGTAACAGACTTGGAATCAATACTAGAAGTAAATATCTTATCCCCAAGGATGGCGTTTCCTGTCGCACTTTTCCCACTTCCGGTTTTTCCCACCAGAACGATGCGCAGAGTGTTGTCCTCAAGGCCGGCCATGCTGGTGTCAAGAGGCTCTGGGTGCAGGTTCCTGCAACACCCTGAGGAGGGAAAGGAGATGGGGAGGGGCCAACTTAGGCAAGTGAGGACCACTTCAACCCTCTCTTCCTCCCTGAAAATTTTTACTAGTCAGTTATTCATACTGATCCCAGTGACAACAGACAGATGGCACAGGTCAACTCCTGGGGAAGAAACAACAGAGTTTTCCCACAGAGGAGCACCAGGTACAGGCCCCTCCCAGGGGAGCGCACCCACACCTTACAGCTCTGCTCTCTCAGTGCTCCCTGAGCTGTCCCTGATCACACACAAAAGGAGGGGAAGTTTCAGTCCTTTCCAGGAATCAAGTATATTGTTGATCTCAAAGGCTAACCAAGATTTCACCAATAAATAAAGCCACAGATGTCTCTCATTTGGAAATAGTAATACAAAGTCTTAAATATATTATTACATACTTTAAAAAGTACACACCATAGTTAACAGGGATTTATTTCGGAAATACTAGGATGGTTCAACATGAATAAATTCTTACAACACATCCCATTAATAGATGAAGAAGAAAACTATCCAGATGCTGAAAAGACATTTGACAGGATTCCACACTGACTCATGGTTAAAACATTTCATAAAAGTGCAATTAATAAATATTTCTCTAAAGTTAAAATAATGGATTATAAAGGTTATTTTCCATTTTTATAAATAAAAAATAAACTTATTAAGCACCACCAAGAAAAAGCATAAGGAGAGAGGACTACCTCTACCAGGAGGAGTCAAACATGTAGTTTCTGTAACTACAGCCGTATAAGGCTGGTGCACAAACAGAGAGAACAGGCCAACAAAAATAGAAAATTCAGAAAGAGGCCAAATTATTCAGACTGTGTCATTTACATTGACAGCTCAGGGGTGCTCACCACTCACTAGCACCTCATCACAGGGACTGAGGGCCACTGCAGGGTCACAGGGACTAAGCATCCAACAGGGCCCAGATGGGGTAATATGAACACCAGTAATAACTCCAGTGAATGGGAAGGCATCCAGTATGTTGAAATCCATGGGGTCATAGCAATGCCTTCTTCAAAGTGGCCCGTCTCTCCTTGGGGCATCTGCTAGAAAGCATCTCACTGCTCTGCACGTCCACACACAAAGGGGAGGAGTCGGGTGGGGTGTTTATCTGTCTCTCTCATGCGACTGACTGCACCTCCTGGGGATGAGAGAGAGCTTGAGGGCGGCTTTCTTTCCATGGGACCGTTCCATCCAATACATGAAGAAACAAGGACAGCACTTGAGTGTCATCACTTGTGACCATTAACGAGACTAAGGCAGCCAGCCATTAGTGTCAATTAATGTCACAGACAGATTGACAACCAGACATCGGGTGCCTTCTGACGGGAGTTTACAGCTACACCTATGAAGTGTTCTCACCTGAAATCAGTGAACCTGACCAAGCCTCTCCTTAGACAGGAATTCACACAAATGCTAGAACGAGAGGAGCAGGTAAGCTGACACCTTTGATGGAACCGACAGAACACACACTGCCCGATTCCATTGGAGAGGAGACCCCCCTTTCTACCCAGAGAAATCTCCCAGAAAGGAACAGAAAAGGTGGAAACTGACATATTAAATTATATTTCAGAGATATGGAACAATTGTGATTTATGGATCTTATTTGGATCCTACTTCAAACAACTTTTAAAATTATGAGAAAATCAGCAAAATCTGAATGCAGGTGGTAACTGTTTTTTAAAAATTCTAGTTGCTGCCCTAGCTGGTATGGCCCAGTGGATTGAGGGCCAGCTTGTGAACCGAAGGGTCGCCAGTTTAATTCCCAGTCAGGGCACATGCCTGGGTTGTGAGTCAGGTCCCCAGTAGGGCGAGTGAGAGGCAACCACACATTGATGATTCTCTCCCTTTCTCTTTCTCCCTTCCCCTCTCTCTAAAATAAATAAAATCTTTTTAAAAATGCACGTTCGAATAAAAATTGTAGGTGCTTTTTGAAGTCTGGGGATGGCAATATTTTTCAACAGTTTCAAATATTCACTGGTAAACAAAGCAATGTTTGACACCTGCTTCAAAATAACGTGGGGTGGGAGGGAATAGCGAGTCTACAGGTGAAACCAGACTGGCGTCAAAGGAGGACTGTCGGAGCTTGGTCCAGGGCGATGGAAGTTCCCTTTACCCTTCCCTTTATCAGGAAACAGTGAAAATTTCCACAACTGGAAATTTAGTCTGGGTGTAAGACAACCACTACTGAACACTTCATAGCAAGCACCCAGGTAAATATTTTTGCATTATCGCATTTACTCCTCAAAAAGAGCTGGCAAGGAAACTCATTTTATTATTCTGACTTTTTTATCTTCACCCCAGGATATGGTCACTGATTTTTAGAGAGAAAAGAGAGGAGAGAGAGAGAGAGAGTCCACGTGAGAGAGAAACATGGATCCATTGCATCTGGCCCGTGCCCCACTTGGGGACTGAAGCCACAACCTATGTATGCGCTGTGACCGGGATTGAACCCATAACCTTCTGGTGGATAGGAAGACACTTCAAACGACTGAGCCACCCGGCTGGGGGTTGTTATGCTAACTTTTAAAATAAGGACATGATGTGGCTCCAAAATGCTGAGACACTTGCTCAAGGTCACGGTGCTCACAGGTACTGGGCAGCCCACGGGTCCAGTTGAAAGTCCCTCTGCCTCCCTCCCGCCCTTCCCCCAACCAGGGCCCACAATGGCCTCTGCCTGACTCCCTCTAGGCCCCAACTCTAAAACCTCACCTGTCTAGCAGGACAGGGAGTGGGGGGGTGGGGGAAAGGCGCCCCCTCTCTCCCAGAACCCACAACTGAAGGGACACCAGCCTCGCAGGGAAAGTGGGGGCTGTCTGTGCTGCTCCCACATAAGAGCCCTGCACTCCCCCCGGATTCTCCACACCGCCCACGGCACACGTTGGGGCCCCAGTTTCTCTCTGTTGAGTGACAGACCCTGTGTCCTAGATTCCTCTGCCACCAGAGATGAGGGCCACCCCTGGAGGGTCACCACACCACCTGGGATCCTGATCTTGGCAGTGAACAGAGGCATTTGGACGGCCTGGTCTCTACATGGCCTTCAGCCCTGAACACCTGCCCTGGGGACACGAGTTTCCCATCAAGGGACGAGGAAGGCTCAGCAGCAGCCTCAGGGTCCATCACACCAACAAACGCATGAAGATAGCCCCATCAGCACACACATGTCCTAACAGTATGAGACACAGGACATTGTGCCAATAACACAGGCCCTCACTCCCTTCCCCACCCCCCACCACTACCCTCTGACAGCACCCTCCTCCCACTGTGGGGCTGCCACAGTGCCTGGTGCCTCCTCAGACCAGAACCACCCCCTGCACCTGCCCTGGCCCCACTGCCCTCCCAACCCTATGGCTCAGCTGGGTCTCAGCCATGCTCAAGTTCTCTTCAACCTGCTGAGAAGTTCCTGGGTTCTCCCCAAAGAATGTCTTTCAACTGCTGCTTCTGCTTTAACTTTGAGGAGAGAGTTCACAGCTCTGAAAGTGCTGATCCAGGAAGCTGAGGTTGGGGTGGGGCCGGTGGAGGATCTGTTTGCCTTTAAAGAGACAGAAACAGGGTCCCGTAATTTGGTGGTGCTACAGTTTTGCCAAATTCCAAAGTTGGGTGGATATGCCCGCTCCCACAGCAGAATTTCCAAAGCTATGTTCAGTATTTTGGGTGACAGTGGTGGATTGAAAAGGCCCTTCTCAAGTGACCCAAGCCTTGCCCAGAAAGCCAGGCACACCATCTGGTCATCTTCCCTGTACAGTGGGTGACAGCAAGGTGATTCTGGAAGGAGGAAGTCGAGCAGGTGACTTGGGGCACCCTTGGGTGCTGCTAGTGATCATGTGCTGTGGGCTTGAGTCCAGTCTTTCAGAAGGGTCTCAGTTCCTCATTCAGAAAGCGCAGGACCCAGATCTGGAGCCGAATGGGGTCTACCCCATTGGGAGGCATGGGGAAGGGAAGAAGGGGGTTTGGGAAAAAGTCTCTGTAACCACACAGCCCCTCTGGGTTTTCCATATGGATCTTGCCAGCTTGAACGTGCCCCAGGGTCTGACAAGTACAGATGCTCCCAGGGAGCAAATGCAATTCCCCTCCCACCCTTTCTGCCTTCCCCCACCCCAGGCCCACATGGAGGCACCTATCTGAGGGTCACCCAGCAGACAGATGCCACAGGCTCTGGAACCCGTTTCCAGTGAGAGGTGGGCTGCCAGAGCTCTCACTGTGGACAGGACGTTCCAGTCGTCTGTTGCATCACCATTAAATATTGGTTTTTATTATATATTTTGGTTCAACACAATGAGCTTTTGATGGGTCAAATCTAAGCTTTCGGGTATGTACTAGGAGGAGCAGATGTGTCAGGAAGTAAGGGACAGTAGGATGGCTGCTCGTGGAGGGAAGCAGCAAGATTTGGAAATGAGGGTGTTCATGACATGTCATTGGTCTGAAGTGTGAGATGAATTGTCGGAGCTAATGACTCAGGTCACCGTGAAGGGCCTGGTAACAGTTTCCTGACTTTCAACAGTGACACAGAGCAGGACCAGCTTTGACATTCGCCATGTCTGGCACAAAAGGAAGAAGCCACACCCTCTGTTCAAAAATCATGAAAAATTTCAAGAAGCATTGACAGAGCCTCAACCCACGAGAGGGGCCCCTCTCAGCACAGGGCCCTGAGCAGCCCCACAGGTCACTCCCCAGGGGGCTGACCCTGACCCAGCTGCACAGATGTGACTCAGCAGCACAGCCAGGACCTCATCTCCTGCTCAAACTGTCTCCCCTTGGTCCAGTCTCAGGTCACTTTCCACGATCCTTGAGTGAACCCTGTCCTGCCAGGAGCCACCTTGCATATTTTCCTGGGGAACTCCTTCCCTCTGCAGGAGTGACGCTCAGGTGCACTGTTCAGTCCCCCAAGGGAAGAGGGAAGAGGCTGAGAGAATCCACAGATGCCGCAGGGATGGGACACGGGTCTGGGATGGGAAGAGCATTGAGGCCATTGGTCTGGAGGAGCCCTTAGAACACGGCAGCCC